TAGGCTTGGAGAGAGCAAGAGTTTAATTTGTACACAGGAAGGTTTAATGAAGTTAAACCCAGTATCTATCTTTAATAATTTCCAGTCTCTGCCTTTTTGTAGGTTTCCAAAAATTTTATCCTAATGTACAAGATTCTAATAAACATTTGGCGACTAGTGTGCTAACCACTGATCTAAATATTAGAATCCATTTGAGAATACAACTAGGTAATCACTCTACGCTGCTTCTGGAGACAGGAAGACCTCCCACATCGTAGCAATTGCCTCGTGGCGCTAGTCTGGTGAACTGAAGCCACAGCCCTAGTGCTCTTACCTTTCAAAATAAAATATGCTATGTGTCCTGATCACTTGTCCTTTTTTTGGGTGCTAAAAGAGCTGTTGTTACACCATCTTCTGATACCCATTTTGTTTTTTGTTTTGGATTCTCCTCACCAGTCTGCTATGTACTCAATCTATTTCACAGTACTCATACCTAAACATAAAATTCGAGTCAATTGTCCAAAAGAACATTTCTTTAAGCATCGCTTTTCAACTGTTCTTTCATGCTTTCAAGCTACAAGGTAGAGAAACAATTAAGACTAGACATTTGATTACCCAAAATAGGAAAAGTTATCATATGTAAGAGAAATGGAGTATGGCAAACCAACTGATACCTGTATGTAATCAGTAAGATACTTAAAATGCTATTTTGACAAGACATAATGTCATTGTGACCCATGTGAATGTTTTTATTCTAAATATCTCTTACTTTTGACTATTCAGAACTGTTTTGGGTCGACAAAAACTGCAGCTATTAGTAATAGTCCCACTATTAAATGTTAAAATGACTTTCCAACCATATAACTGTGGTTTCAATTCTTTAGAGCTGTTAAGTTCTTTGTGCCATCAGACAAGCTTTATGAGGGAGGCCTCCAATGTCACTACCTGATCTGTACTGGAAGCATGATCCATACCATGAGTATATTTGTGTATCCATAGCCACACATTCACCCAGGTCACTATAAATAATATAATTATGGTACTGAAAGTACTTATCTCTATCCATCAAATATACTAAACTACAATTTGTAAAAATTATTAAACACTTTTCTGAGAGAATTGGATGTTTTTTATATTCTCTGTTAGTTTGCTTGTCTGGCGTTATGGGACATGCTCGAAGCAGTCCAGCAAAATATGATAACACTGTTTAGCTGTATTTTAGCTATGCCTTTCTTTAGAGCATGCACTATATAAATATTATATAAAAGAGCTATAAGATGCAAACATAAATCTCAGAATAACTACAATTATTATAAAAATCCAAAGCTGAAAAGAATTAGCTGTGTTTACTTGGTTAGGAAAGCATTTCATGGACAAATTGAGTACACAGGAGTGATGTAACAGAAAACATGTTCACGCATTAATTCTATCATGAAAGTCATTATTAACCTTTCACAGAATGTAGTTCAGTGCTTTAAAAAAAAAAAAGAGAGAGAAAAAATAGTCTTTTCTTCATAAAACTCTATGGCGACAAGAATGCGACAAGCGAAAAATAAGCTGATAATACAGATCATGCAAACGGTACGGAACGGAGTGTGATATCCACTATTGTCATGTTTTTGCATTTTGGCACCATCTAGAGGTGGGAGGGTGAACAAGACATTGTTGAGATGACCCAG